TAAGCTAAAGAAAAGGACCTCTAAGGTAATATTTTCAGAAATATTACCTGTGCAGCGCTACAGCAGAAAGACAGTGGAAGATTAGAGAGGTCAATGCGTGGCTGAAGTCTTGGTGCAGGAAAGAGGGTTTGGGGTTTTTAGAGCACTGGGCCATTTTTACGCTTGGGTACAACCTCTATAGCCGTGATGGATTGCACCTGTGCTGGGGGATAGGATGGCTAGAAGGTTGGAGGAGATTTTAAACTAGTAGTAGGGGGGGAGGGTGAAAGCAATCTATAAAATGGAGATAGGATAGAAAGGAGATGGGCTTTAGCTCAGTATAAGGGGGGTGGAGATGGGGGAGGGGAAAGCTCAGAATAGAGGAGGTATGTAATATTGATAAAACATTCACAAAAATTACAAATGACTCATGATAATATTACATGTATGCTTACTAATGCAAGGAGCCTATATAACAAAATGGAATAGAATACACTAAACAATATGATATAATAGACATAACTGAAACATGGTGGGATGAGACACATGACTGGGCAGTTAATTTAAATGGGTACACGTTATTTAGGAAGGATAGGAAAAACCAGAAGGGCGGTGGGGTATGTTTGTATGTCAACCATGAGTTAAAATCAAATCTTACGCATGTGTAGTGTGACGAAAATGTGAAAGCTTTATGGGTAGATATCTGCTTTGGGCAAACAAAGGGAAATCAATTATTGGTTGGGATATGTTATAAACTACCTAATGTAAATATTAATGAGGAAGAACAGCTGTTAGTGCAATTTGAGAAAGCTGCAAATCGGGTTAACACGTTAATTATTGGAGATTTTAATTACCCGAACATAAATTGTGACAGAGGGACTAGTACTTCAACAAGGGGAATCAGGTTTTTGAATGTGTTAAATGACACCTTTATGTCACAACTGGTACAAGCACCAACTAGAAAGGATGCTCGTCTGGATCTCGTATAACAAACAACGTTGATCTTTTGACCAACATTCAAGTAGGGGAGCATTTGGGAAATAGTGATCACAACATGGTAATTTTTCAAATAAACTAAATAAAGCAAAAGCACGTGGGGTATACTAAAACACATAATGTAAAAAAAGCCAATTTCAATAAGATTGGGGCAGCTCTACAACATATCCACTGGCATGAACTCCTTAGTGAAGAAAAAAAACTGAGGATAAATGGAAACTATTCAAACAAATATAAGAGGCACATTTCTCAGTATGTACCATTGGGTAATAAATATAAAAGAAACAAATTGAAACCAATGTGGCATAGTAGAGAAGTAAAACAAAATATTAAAAATAAGAAAAGGGCATTTAGAGCATTTAAATTGGACAAATCAGAGGCATCCTATATAAGATATAAGGAAGCCAATAATGTTTGCAAAAAGGCAATTAAAGTGGCTAAACTAGAAAATAAGAAATTGATAGCCAAAAAATGCAAAACCAACCCCCAAGTACATTAAATTGTAAAAAAACAAAAAATGAAAAAAACTGGAAACAGAGATGGGTCTGTTAGTTAATGAAGACCAGGAAAAGGCAGTAATTTGAAATAACTATTTTTTTCCAGTATATATTAACGAGGATCCTATGGCAAGAGATATGCAAATGACTACAGCAAAAAACTTGCAGATAACTTGATAACTTGTGATTGGATGACTCGAGACAAGGTACTACAGCAATTAAAGACTTTACACACCCCTCTTTACACACACAGCCAAATACACACACACTGACACACACAGGCAGATACATAGATAAAGTTAGCTACACACACACACTGACACCACAGTCAGATACACACACTGACACAAACACAACCATATACACTCATACAGTCAGATACACACACCAACACACACAGCCAAATACACACACTGACACAAACACAGCAAGATACACATACATCCAGATACACACACTGACACAAACACAGCTAGATACACACATTGACACACACACAGCTAGATGTACACACACAAAGCCAGATACACACATACAGTCAGTTATACACACTGACACAAACTGCCAGATACACACACTGACACAAACACAGCCAGATACACACACTGACACAAACAGACAGATACACACACACACACACACACACACACACTGACACACACAGCCAGATACACACATACAGCCAGATACACACACTGACACAAACACAGCCAGATACACATACATCCAGATACACACACACTGACACAAACACAGCTAGAAACACACATTGACACTCACACAGCCAGATACACAACCAGACACACACACTGACACACACACAGCTAGATGCACACACACAGCCAGATACACACATACAGTCAGATACACACACTGACACAAACAGCCAAATACACATGCACTGAAACAGCCAGATACACACACTGACACAAAGTCAGAGGAAAATGTAAGGTCCTAAATGAGATCAGGGAACTAGGAAGTAAGCTAAAGAAAAGGACCTCTAAGGTAATATTTTCAGAAATATTACCTGTGCAGCGCTACAGCAGAAAGACAGTGGAAGATTAGAGAGGTCAATGCGTGGCTGAAGTCTTGGTGCAGGAAAGAGGGTTTGGGGTTTTTAGAGCACTGGGCCATTTTTACGCTTGGGTACAACCTCTATAGCCGTGATGGATTGCACCTGTGCTGGGGGATAGGATGGCTAGAAGGTTGGAGGAGATTTTAAACTAGTAGTAGGGGGGGAGGGTGAAAGCAATCTATAAAATGGAGATAGGATAGAAAGGAGATGGGCTTTAGCTCAGTATAAGGGGGGTGGAGATGGGGGAGGGGAAAGCTCAGAATAGAGGAGGTATGTAATATTGATAAAACATTCACAAAAATTACAAATGACTCATGATAATATTACATGTATGCTTATTAATGCAAGGAGCCTATATAACAAAATGGAATAGAATACACTAAACAATATGATATAATAGACATAACTGAAACATGGTGGGATGAGACACATGACTGGGCAGTTAACTTAAATGGGTACACGTTATTTAGGAAGGATAGGAAAAACCAGAAGGGCGGTGGGGTATGTTTGTATGTCAACCATGAGTTAAAATCAAATCTTACGCATGTGTAGTGTGACGAAAATGTGAAAGCTTTATGGGTAGATATCTGCTTTGGGCAAACAAAGGGAAATCAATTATTGGTTGGGATATGTTATAAACTACCTAATGTAAATATTAATGAGGAAGAACAGCTGTTAGTGCAATTTGAGAAAGCTGCAAATCGGGTTAACACGTTAATTATTGGAGATTTTAATTACCCGAACATAAATTGTGACAGAGGGACTAGTACTTCAACAAGGGGAATCAGGTTTTTGAATGTGTTAAATGACACCTTTATGTCACAACTGGTACAAGCACCAACTAGAAAGGATGCTCGTCTGGATCTCGTATAACAAACAACGTTGATCTTTTGACCAACATTCAAGTAGGGGAGCATTTGGGAAATAGTGATCACAACATGGTAATTTTTCAAATAAACTAAATAAAGCAAAAGCACGTGGGGTATACTAAAACACATAATGTAAAAAAAGCCAATTTCAATAAGATTGGGGCAGCTCTACAACATATCCACTGGCATGAACTCCTTAGTGAAGAAAAAAAACTGAGGATAAATGGAAACTATTCAAACAAATATAAGAGGCACATTTCTCAGTATGTACCATTGGGTAATAAATATAAAAGAAACAAATTGAAACCAATGTGGCATAGTAGAGAAGTAAAACAAAATATTAAAAATAAGAAAAGGGCATTTAGAGCATTTAAATTGGACAAATCAGAGGCATCCTATATAAGATATAAGGAAGCCAATAATGTTTGCAAAAAGGCAATTAAAGTGGCTAAACTAGAAAATAAGAAATTGATAGCCAAAAAATGCAAAACCAACCCCCAAGTACATTAAATTGTAAAAAAACAAAAAATGAAAAAAACTGGAAACAGAGATGGGTCTGTTAGTTAATGAAGACCAGGAAAAGGCAGTAATTTGAAATAACTATTTTTTTCCAGTATATATTAACGAGGATCCTATGGCAAGAGATATGCAAATGACTACAGCAAAAAACTTGCAGATAACTTGTGATTGGATGACTCGAGACAAGGTACTACAGCAATTAAAGAAAATTAATGTAAATAAAGCTCCGGGGCCTGGCAGAATTCACCCACGAGTACTTAAGGAGCTGTAAACTGTTAAACTTTTTGCTCTCTTTTACAGGCCTTCCCGAACGTCGGTTCCGGGCAACAACACAACCGACTAATACTACTACTATAACTCGACTTATTGTCCCTGACTACAAATGGAAAGGCGGAACCTGTAGTTGTGGGTGGGGTTTATCCAGCCAATAAATTCACAGGCCTCCCCTTCCTCTGGGCTGAGACTTCCTGGTTCAGCCCACCCACTGCACCCTTTATTAAGCATTCACTTGAAAGCCAACACAATTAATGGAAGAGGTAATGGTGCTTGAAGTGTCTTATAATTCCTTCACTACCAACACAATATTACATTATTACATTTAAAAAATAATTACATTTGTTTAAAACATTGGGTGCATAGCTACAACATAAATATATGATATATGAGCACATGTGTGTACAGATTGCTATCCAGACAAGCATAAACATTATAATGTTTTCACAATTTGTATTTTTCATTTATTTGTTTATCTTTTATAGAAATATCAGGGCAATGAAAATATTTATTCAGTTTTCACTGTCTTTTATTTCACATAAGAGCTGAAATATAACTATAAAAACAAAAATGCTATTTTTCTTACATACAGCAGGCATGATAAATATAGATTAAAAAAAGGGATCTCATGAAATTGCTAGCATAAAAGCTTATTGAAAATGATAGTACAATGTGAAAAGAATGTCTGCATTTGGGTATAATGCCAACATACAGTAAATACAGTTATATCATATATTTTTAAAATAAAGGCATTTTATAACAATCAGATATAACGCTGAAAGGCATAATACCATTAATACCATTCATTCCTTCCTCACTGTAGGAATGCTATGACCTTCAAAGTGTTCCTTTACAGTTGGAAGGAGGAGGGAGGCTGTAATTATCAGGATATTTGCAAACATTACATAGAATGGAATGGGCTCCTGGCAGAGATATTCATTCATTCGGCCAATCTGGTAATTATTTCTGGGTTATAAATAAAGGTAAATGGGGCTATACGGACTTAATTTCATTTTTCCAATGCAAATAGAAGGAAAAAAACATGCAGACACAATTTTAATTGTGATGGGGTTAATAATGAATAGCAAAATATACGTTTATGCTCCTCTCTTGCTTTTACAGACCTTTATTTTTTGAAAACATGTATGCTTATGTTTAACATGATCATTAAAATCACTGCAGAAATTCTAATTCTGTAACATACCTTCCAATTTAGGAGGTATGGGATCCGGGACAGGTGGATGGGCCAGAACGGGGGGAGGAGGACAAAGAGGGGCAGACCTTCCAGTTAAAGGGTAAGCCCATCTAGAAAGGGACATTTTAGCGTGCATGACATGCTGATTGACAGCCTTTTTAGCTGACACTAATTAGGACAGCCCCAGCTTACAGTACTTCTAAAGATTTTACTCAGCTCAGCCTTTAATGATTTGGGGAGATTTCCCCTGATGTGAGACACTAGGGAACAAACCTGGGGTGGTGAAAAACAAATCCACATTCTGGACATTCCCCCTGAACTTGTGATATTTGGAAGGCATGTCCACATTATATGATGTCAGCATAAATCAGAACATATCAAAAACTACTGAGTTAATGAATTAAAAATGAGAGATGATTACTATATTCATTAATTAGATTTTTTTTTTCAATTTAACTGTTATATAACTGTATATATCTAGTTAACCCATGGATATGTTAGAACTCTCAATGGCATTGCACAATTACCTGTATAGTTTAAACATATTGAACACGTACATTAAAAAACAATTCATACAAAATAATATATATAATTTTTATGATACAAAATAATTTACATCATTCAAAAGCAACAACCACCTGCAAAAGAAGGCATCAGGTGTTTTTAGGATATGTGTGTTTAAATAGCATTTCTGGGCATAGATCCAAACACGGAGCAATTGTAATAAAAAGTATGCTGCTTATTTATTCCAAGTTTAGAACTTTGCCGTAGAAAAACTCTTTATCTTTAACCCCACCCAATATGATCTGTGAATGTAGCAAGAAGCTTTGTAGTCCCTGAGCCACACATTATTCTGCTCTTGCATCTTAACTTGCAGAACAAAAAATCTCAAGCAGCAGATTGACCCGTCACATAAATTCAAGTTTTGTTTCTTTTTAAGTTATTTATCCATTTCAGTGCTTTACTTCTTATTCACTAAGGGTAATTATACCATAAAACAGCTTCTGACGTGTTAACCAAGTGCAATAAGACCTCTCACAACTTTTTGTAAGCATCACCTTAAAAAGAAGATACATGTAATTATGAGATATGTAAAATTGCTATTTTTGTTTTCCATTTTATTAAAATTGTTTAGTTAAAAAAACAACCTTTCCAATAAATGATTAAACCAGAAAAGTACATCACGTTTTTTTTCAAGAAATGTCCTCTAAGGATGAATAAGTCAATATAGATGGAAAGCAACTTCATAGGACACCGTGAGCTAAACAAGTAAGCTGCCAAAAGACACAAAGAGTTAATAAATAATCAAGTTATCACAACAAACAATGGTGTTATGATATGAAAACCTATTTAACTGATCTTTTAACCTGTTAGTCCACTTTTCTGTAGGAGATAGCATTTTTGTTTTGTCGAGGTCTTGATGTAAAGAAACCCTCGTTGTATGGAACTCTTGAAAGGCTAGTTTTATTAATGTAAGAGTGGGGAAAGATCAGCAGCAATCCCAATCCACTCAGGTAGAAAGGCAGCATCATAATGAAAAAGTTTTAGAAATTCCGAATCCGGTAAAGTGAAATTAGTGAGGTAAATAGCTTCTCCTCCTACTAGATAACTTGCCCAGTAGCCAAAGGTCCCAATGGTCATTATTGTGTGGTTACAACTCATAAGGAGTGCAAAATCTTTCCCAGGAGTTGACTCATTTCCATCACCTGAGAAATAAACATCTCCCCTTGAGTTGTCAATGTTATCTTTGCACCAATCCATCCCATTGCTTGTCACCACAAAGATAGGCTCCTTGTACTTTTTTCGGAAGTAACCCATGGCCTTTTCCAAATATCCTCTGTCTGCAATCACTCCTTTCCATACGTTAGGCATAACACTGACGTAGTCACCTCTGCGAACGTGAACACCGATATAGGTAACGTCCGTCCGTGAACCTTTCATTCCGTGTAGCACTTGATTGGCTTCTTTCTTAAGATGGTCGTGGATAGTGAATTCTCTACGGATATCATCACGAAGGTGATGGTAGAAGGTCCATGAACAGGGATACCCAGTAAACTTCAGAAAAGTTTCATCAACATGGTTATACTCCTCCGACATCCAGTCGTGTATCCAGTATTCTTTGAATGAAATAAGGTTAACAGCATCTTGATGTAAGACAGGCAACGTGATTTTGAAGATAGGTGCTAAATAGGAGTGCATTTCTGGAAGGATGAAAGGTTGGCGTCCATTTGCTTTGGCTAAGGCATACAAGGTTGCATACTCGCCCATCTGATTACCTAATCTTCCATCAGGTTTAATAGTCCAAATTCCATTAAGGTCACATTTTGTAGAACTCTCACTGTCTGTATTAGAAGTGTCCTCATTGTTTTGTGTGTCTTGTTGCTTTTTCTCATTAAGGCACATGAAAGATAGAGGTGTTAGTTTCGTAGAGAACATTAAGAATCCAATGCGAACCTGCAATCTGTATAAAACTGAGAACGTGAGAACTGACACAAAAAACATCACGCAGAACATGAACCTTTTTTTCTTTACACAGTCCATGTTTCCTTTATATCTGATGCAGCACTTCATTCACAGCGACTCTTCCATAAATAAATTAATGCCTGTTTTAAAACAGAAACAAATGTAAGTATTTTTTTATTACAAGGACAAAATTATATATATATATATATATATATATATATATATATATATATATTGTGTTTACCAGATAATCAGCAAACTGTATAAAATATATCTAATTAATCTTGACTTAATGGAACACTATAGCGTTAGGAATACAGACCTGTTTTCCTAAAGCTGTAGTGCGCATGTCCCTAGTTATGTCCTTTTAATTCTGCAGCCACTTCTGGGTGACTATATTGTCCCTTTAACTGTCTCAAATCAGGCATTCAGAATCATCAAATAAACATTGCCGCTTCATTGCACAATGGGATCATGGGTTCTCATCAACACAGTCTATTGAATGTTCTTTAAAGCATATTTTTAAAGTGGTAACAGCCAATAAGCTTTTCCAAAAATGTGACACAATGTCAAAATGGCTCTTGAATGGCTCTGGGGGTAATTCCAGTAAAATGTACTTTGGTTGTGTTATATAAAAACATATTTCTAAACGATTGATATTAATTTTGACATGATTCATGTAATGAAAGTTTTAGATTTCAGAACTACAAGATGAATCAAAAGTCAGGAGCCATCAAAACATCTGCAAGATGATTAACCCTTTAGTGACCAGACCACTTTTAAATTTTCTTACCCTTAAGGACCAGGGCTGTTTTTACATTTCTGCAGTGTTTGTTTTTAGCTGTAATTTTACTCTTACTCATTTACTGCACAAACACATATTATATATCGTTTTTCTCGCCATTAAATGGTCTTTCTAAAGATACCATTATTTTCATCACACCATCTAATTTACTATAAACAAAATTAATAAAATATGATGAAAATTTAAAACCAAAACATGTTCTTAGCTTTTTTTGTGTGTGCAAGTTATAGGGCAATAAGTACAAGTAGCACTTTGCTATTTCATAACCATTTTTTTCAAAATTATGCAAGTTACATTGATATCTGTCAGGAATCCCTGAATAACCCTTCACATGTATATATTTTTTAAAAGAAGACAATCTAAGGCAGGGGTGTCCAAACTTTTTTCAAAGAGGGCCAGATTTGATGAAGTGAACATGCGTGAGGGCCGACCATTTTGCCTAACATTCTTTCAACCATTAAAATTAAATGCAAATGAACTATTTTATGCAAAGTTTATTGCAAACGGCATACTTTTCATTTCGTCACTTATTTTTCATATTCTGTCATATTCTGTCTCAGATCTCTTTATTCTGTCACCATACAGATCTCTTTATTCTGCCTCAAATCTTAGTATTTTGTCTCTTCTCTCTTTATTCTGTCCCTTCTCTTTTTATTCCGTCTCTTCTCTCTTTATTCTGTCCCTTCTCTCTTTATTCTGTCCATTTTCTCTTTATTCCTTCACTCTTTATTCTGTCCCTTCTCTTTGTATTCTGTCCCTTCTCTCTTTATGCTGTCCATTCTTTCTTTATTCTGTCTCTTCTCTCTTTATTCCTTTTCTTTATTCTTTCTTTATTCTGTCTCAAACCTCAGTATTCTGTCCCTTCTCTCTTTATTCTGTCTCTTCTCTCTTTGTTCTGTCCCATCTCTCTTTATTCTGTCTCTTCTCTCTTTATTCATTCTCTCTTTATTCTGTCTGTTCTCTCTTTATTCTGTCTCTTTTCTCTCTGTCCCAGATCTCTTTCTGTCCCAGCAGGGAGAAGGAACACACCAAATCCAGCTAGGTCGACGAGATCCCGTGACGTCGACGAGATCGCGAGAACGCAGACTGAGGACATGCAGTCCCATGGCGTTCAAAGATCCAGAGAATCTCTAGATCTTTGAACGCCGCGGGACTGCACGTCCTCAGCGGCACTCAGGGATTCACTGGTGGCCACAACATATAGATTTAACAAATTACCTGTGCCGGACTTTGGACTTGACTGATTTAAGATATTAAACTTGGGGTATTTTGACTCTTTTCATGCTCTTTTCTTGCAACCATTTTACCACCAATCTATGCCAAATTTAAAAAAATAAAAAATAACTGGGGATTTTTTTGACATACATAGCAATTTAAGAATACATGTACTGAGAACTTAGGATTACTGCAAAGAACACCTCAATATTTGTTCAGCAACAACTCCTGAGTACAGTGATACCACCCATGTATAGGTGTGTTGGGTTCTCTGGGGGAGACCTTATTTGGAGGGTGCGCATTCCAGTTTTCCAACTTGGAATTTTCACAGCTGGCCATCATTCACCCATGTCATATTTGGGATATTTTTTAAGCCGGCCAATGTAATTTACCCCCATCAAACCATATAGTTCTGAAAAGCAGACACCTTACGGTATTTCAAATGGTGGTATTTTAACACTTTCCATGCCCTAATTCTACCACCAGTCTTTGTCAAACTTTTGGATAGTCATTTTTTGTGATATTTTTCTTTCACATTGTGCTTTAGAAATGGATTATCAGTTCCTGTTATGTGTTACTGACAAAGAACACCCCAATATGTGTTCAGCATCATCTCCTGAGCAAGGCGGGCCTTAGGGGCGCCATGGAGGAGGGGGCGCTGTGCGGCCGACACAGCTCACACATGGCCGGCCGAAATGTTAAAAATATAATTTAAAAAAAATGCGGCGGGGACGGACCTTACCTTGCGGCAGGGGTGGAGTCTTGTAACTGTGTATGTGTGTTACTGTCTGTACCTGTGTGTTTCTGCGACTATCCGCCTGCGACTGTGTGCATGTGGTGTATTTGACAGTGTATATGTATAACTGTGCATCTGACTGTAGGACTGTGTGCAGATAACTCTGCAAAAATATACACCTGCATTCACACATAGGATTAAATGCATATTTTATCTGAATGAAATACCCATCACACACAGCCAATACACCCAGCACAAATATCACATACAACCAATACACGTATATCACACACAGTTAATACATCCATTACAAATATCACACACAACCAACACATAGCATACATATCACACACGGTCATCACACCTATCACATACATAGACAACACAAACATTACATCATATTATAGTGAGATGTATTACAGTAGAGCTCTGGTATATAAAATGCACATTACTCTGTTTTTTATAGTTAGGGAGCTCGGTGATACACTAATATACACATTACTTAGAGTTGTATTGTTGTGTAGTGTATGATCTTGTCACAGAGCTCCACATTACTGGGAGTTTTATTGTTTTGGAGCTCTGTGATAAATGGAGAAGTAGCGCATTACTACAAAATTTTATTTCCAAAGAGTTCAAGGTGAATAAGTATAATCCAGAGCTCCAAAGCAAAACCACTCACAGTATTATGTGAGATACTTAATCTGCTCCTCTGTAATGTAGGGGAGGCAGTCTGGCACTTTTGTTGGCTGCAGACCAGTAGCTGTCTTCCTAGCTCGGGATAATCAGAGCGCTGCCGCAAATTACCACAGGACACTGCAAGTCCCTGAGCTTGCGACACAGTTACACATGGTCTGTACCCAGTGGAGGGGCAGACCAGATTCAGATCAGCATGCCCCTCTCCCAGCTAGATAACAACAGAAAAGGAGGACGAAATATTTGTTTTTAAATCCTTATTAATTTAATAAATCCCCTATACAATCACTTTATAGTGGCACTCCTATACATACACACTATACATGGATGACAGGGGGGGGGCGCTGTGAAGATTTTTCGCACAGGGCGCCTAAAGGTCTAAGGCCAGCCCTGCTCCTGAGTACAACAGTCCCCACAATGTACAGGTTTTATGGGTTTTTGCAAACTTCCAGGGGTCAAATGTAGGGCTTTCCCGTTTTCCATGTTTGCACATTGAAATTTGCCAGATTGGTTGCTTGGCCTATGTTGACCGTATAGCATTCCAGGAGTGAAAATTAACCCCATCATGGCATACCATTTGTAAAAGAGACAACCCACGGTATTCAAAATGGGCTATGTTCAGTCTTTTTTAGTAGCCACTTAGTCACAAACCCTGGGCAAAATTAGCATTTATATTTTTTTTTTGCATTTTTCACACATAAACTGTCATTTTCCTGATGAAATTATCAGTATAATACATTTTACTGCTCTAAAACACTAATATGTGTATAGAGTAATGTCTCACGAGTACAACAGTACCCCTCAAGTACAAGTTTTATGGAGATTTGGAAAGTTACAGGGTCAAACATGAGATTTGTCAATTTCTGTTTTTGTAAATTGCTATTTGCCAGATTGACTAGGTTGCCTTTGAGACGGTATGGTAGCCCAGAAATGAAAATAAACCCCACCATGACACCCCATTTTGAATACCCTGGGTTGTCTACTTTATCAAATGGTATATGTCCAGTCTTTTGTAGTAGCCACTTAGCCACAAACACTTGCCAAAATTAGCATTCATATTTGTTTTTTGCATTTTTTTTTACACAAAAACTGCACTTTTACTGGTGATTTCATCGTCGTGATAAGTTTTAATGTTTTAAACACTCATATTTGTGTTCAGCGAAGTCTCCCGAGTATAACAATACCCCCCATGTAAAGGTTTTATGGTGTTTTGGAAATTTACAGGGTCAATATATGGCTTGCCCATTTCAGTTTGCCAGATTGGTTTGTTGTGTCTATGTTGCCTTTTGAGACCATATGGCAGTGGTGTATTCTGGATTTGTGCTGCCCTAGGCACGACTAATTTCGGCACCCCCTTATCTAAATTTGCCCCACCAATTCATGTCAAGGCCTTTTTTTTGACTGACAGACACACACTCACAATGTCAGAAAGACACACACACTCACTATGACAGACACAAACACACACTCACTGTCAGACACACACACATTTTCTCATACACTCACCAATTATTAATATTTTTTTTAATCTAAAAGGACATATCTCCCTTATCGCCCGGCTAGAATATTAGTACTTTAACACCTAGGGGGGCCCTAAGGTGGTAGCCAGCTCTTGGGTCCCCCAGTACACAAGACAAACAAGGCATTTACCTGGGCACTTGGGGCGGTGTTTTTTGCCGCCCCCCCCTGAAAGTGCTGCCCTAGGCAAATGCCTTGTGGTAAATACACCCCTGCCATATGTTAGCCCAGGAATGTGAATTAACCCTATCATGGCATACCATTTTTAAAGGTAGACAACCCAGGGTATTCAAAATGGGGTATGTCCAGTCTTTTGTAGTAGCCACTTAGTCACAAACGCTGGCCAAAGTTCTATTTGTTTTTTGGCATTTTTTGCACAAGCCGGCTATTCCGGCCATGTGATCGCGAGGACCCCACGATCACATGGCACGGGAGGGCCGGATTGGGCAGAGGGGGTCTGCCTGAGCTCCCAGGAAGACCCCAGGATCGTGATCGCCAGCCATCAGGTAAGTGGGGATTTTCTATCGGATGTACCAGGTACGTCCGAGATCATTAACGGATGTTTTTTTGTCGGACGAGGTGGGGAAGGGGTTAAAGGAACACTCTAAGCACAAAACAACTTTAGCTTAATGAAGCAGTTTTGGTAATACATGTATGTACGTAGCGGGGAATGTGGTGCGACTAAGAGTAAGGAGACTACCCCAATTCTCCCCGCAATAATGACAAACAATGAATATTGGATGAAACAGGCCACAGCATTTATTAAACTTACAACTGTAGGACTCATCCGAACTTTATTCTTTTCTTTAATTCAAGTATAAATAAACACATAAATATATATAAATACCATAATTAACATTTAGATTACACTTATTGCCCTACAGCCTCCAATTTAAATAATCGTCCTTGCCAACGAACTTAACCAGGTGCCTATGCACCAAAACTTTACCCACTTGTGTCTCGCCTCCCCCCTCGTCCAAACCAAAAATTCCCATCATCTTAAATGCTCTACCATCAGCTGGCTTTTTGCTCGGTGGGCACGTCCTATTCGGTAACTTAAAAGTTTACCTTACAGAGCAGGGGAGGTTGAGACCCACCCATGTCCATCTCCTGACATTCCATCTGCTCCCCAACCCTGTTGGCAAGGACACGCTCCCCGCTAGCTGTGACGGAACAAAAACAGAAAATCAGGGTGGGTGGGTGGGAAGTTGTTTGCTGGCCAGAATCCCAAAAGGCACTGAGGTAAGATGATCCCTGCCCCACTACAAACCCATAACCACTACCCTAAAACATACAGCCAATCACTAGCACCATCCCCACACTCATACATGTGCCATTGTCCGTTTAGCTGTGCTGACTCCCTAGGGCCTTGTATGTACATAGCGGGGAATGTGGTGCGACTAAGAGTAAGCAGACTACCCCAATTCTCCCCCCAATAATGACAAACAACGAATATTGGATGAAACAGGCCACAGCATTTATTAAACTTACAACTGTAGGACTCATCCGAACTTTATTCTTTTTCTTTAATTCAAATATAAATAAACACATAAATATATATACATACCATAATTAACATATACATTACACTTATTGCCCTACAGCCTCCAACTTAAATAACCGTCCTTGCCAACAAACTTAACCAGGTGCCTATGCACCAAAACTTTACCCGCTGGTGTCTCGCCTCCCCCCTCGTCCAAACCAAAAATTCCCATTATCTTAAATGCTCTACCACCAGCCGGCTTTTTGCTTGGTAGGCACGTCCTATTCGGTAACTTAAAAGTTTACTTTACAGAGCAAGGGAGGTTGAGACCCACCATGTCCTGACATTCCATCTGCTCCCCAACCCTGTTGACAAGGACACACTCACCACCACAAACCCCGCTGTTTTAAATCTAAAATCAGCAGGGAGCCCCACCAAAACCAACCAGGCCTGTTCCACCACTTCCTGCATGGCAAAACGAAAAAAGGTCTAGCCCGACCCCCATCACCCAGAAACACAGTAGCTGCACGTGTGAAAACACCCTGTGGCAAACCAAAATCCCCTTACCCTCAAACACCTCAAAAGGCCCTCCAATTTTGCTTCATACGGCAGCGTACCGTGCACTGATTATGGGCCCGCTGCCAAAAGATACAGGAAATGACCTCCGACCAATCAAGGTTATTTATTGATTTTTTATTTTATTTATTTTTTTAAAATTTTTTAGTTTTTAGAACTGCTTTTGTTATAACATAAGACAAGTCCTGTATAACACATGCAGAACTTATTATAATAATCTCTATAATTATAATCTCTCTTCTTTTCTGAAACCAAAACGTTAAACATAAATAACCATAACTTAACACACAGGGTCATACAGTGAACCCAACACCACGCATCACGAAACAACTAAAACATGCACCAATACCCTCTTAGGGGCAGACGCCAAAACACCACCTTGGTATCGTCCCAAGCTCAATGCCCCCCAGGTGGATAACCCTAACATTAGGGACAGGTGGGACAGCTGAACCTGCTCCGGGAGGAGCCGAACACATTTCATACCTCCGGCACCAAACCAACGAACCTCTGCTTCAGAAGGCGCACAACCCAATAGCTCACCTCCCGGACGGACACCCGCATGCCACCTGGGAGTATAACCAGGAAAAAGACATCCAGATATTTTCTGTTTTCCAAGTGCACCCTGTGAATTGTTACTTGTTCCCAAGGAACTGGTACTCATTTATCTACCTCAAAGGAATGAATGGATGAGCCGCCGCCGCTGAGAATTGAACCCGCAACCCCCCCAAGAATTGAACAAATTCCACGAAACCAGCATTACTTCACCGAGACATCTCACCATACCCCCTCCCGGTTCTTTGCGCCACGTGCGCTGACATACCCATCCTAAAAGCCTCCAAGGCAGCGCTAAACCAAAAGGAATGCCACAAGATTCCTTGCTGACAATCCCCGGAACCATCAGACTTGAGCGACAGACACAAATAATTGGGAATGGGAAAGAAAAGATCCCATCCGCATAAGCCAAAAAAGGGCCAGTGCATGCTGGGCGCAGCTCACAGTTCTCCACAAAGGAAAAGTGCAACAGCCGAACCACCATACCATTCCCCAAAAAACATCTGACCTGGATTGTCAAATACTTATAGTGATATGATCCGGAGGGTGCCGAATGGTGGCAAACAATACCCCACCACCGCATGGCCTACTAGGAATCACCAACACCCCAACATGCACGGCCCACAGGAGCATAGCGTCCAGGTTGCCTTGCAAACTGATCCACGGACCCATTCCGTCACTCTGCCAGACTGAGCGACCAGATGTCCGCCGGGCGAGGCGTCCCCTCTAGATCCGCCTGCGAGGCGATTTCCCCTTAAGCAAGTGAACCACCGGAGGGAAGAAGGCTGTCAGCCGAGTAATGGCCTGAAGAACCCCCAAATTGTCGCAGTGAAACACTACCCTTAGATCCTGAAAATGTGACTGCCAGACCTCTCCCACCACCAAAATGGGGAAAAGCTCCAAAAAGGCCAGATTCTTTGTGAGCCCAGAGACATGCCAACTGTCCGGCCACATGGGAGCACACCAACTAGAGCCCAGAATGGCCCCAAACCCCACCGCGCCAGCTGCGTCCGTAAATAAGTGGAGGTCGGCGTTAGAAACCTCCGGCCTTTGCCAGCAGGACCGGCCATGATATGCAGCCAAGAAGGAGTCCCAAACTGCCAAAATTTCCCGCAGTGGCCGAGTGAGCCAAATGAAATGGCGAGGCCGGAGACCCCGGCCATCGCCGTAGCCAGACGCCGGTTAAAGACCCGCCCCACGGGCATGATCCGACAGTCAAAATTCAGCTCACCCAGGAGCGACTGCCTTGAATCTTATCCAAAGGTAAGCGGCATTCCCCCGCCAAAAAGTCAATCTCAATGCCCAGAAAGCTGAGACAAGTGACCGGGCCCACCGTCTTGCCGCGTGCCAACAGGACACCAAACTTATGGAACACCTCACCCAGAACCCGTTGCAGCAGCGCACAGGCTGGCGAGTCGGCAGGACCCACACAAATGAAATCATTGAGGTAGTGTAGCAAGGAGTCTATCCCAGCCTCCTTCCTCACCACCCAGTCCAAGAACATGTTGAAGCATGAAAAGTAACAACAGGATATGGAACTACCCAAATACGGAGGCACATATCCACGTAATACATGCCTTTAAAACATAGCCCAGAAGATGGTGACATTCCAGGTGCACCGGCAGTAGACGGAAGGCCGGATCCACATCAGCCTTGGCCAACAAGGCCCCAGGGCCCATGGCCCTGATCATGTCAACCGCCACATCAAAGGATGCATAAGATACTCGGCAGAGTTCCCAAGAGATGTTGTCATTCACCAAACCTCCAGAACAATCAAGAAAACCCATCAAGCGCTGACAGAAACCCCCCCAGCAAGGAACCGCCGGACTGAAAAGAAGAAACATTAGTGAACTCATCGGCCGATGCCCAAGGAACCTCCCGCGGCCAAGGGAAATGAAGACGATCGAGGCAGGACAGAGTTAACTTAATTTTCAACACTGCTCAGCCTTGCAGCAGTACCAGGCGGGCAGGAGGGCAGCCGAGGTGAGTACCCAGGGGGGGCAGGGGGGACATAGGGACCAGGAATAGGGACAGGAGGGACAGGAGAGAGGGAGGAGGGAGGGAGACAGAGAGAGAGCTTAGAGAGAGAAAGGGGACACAGACCAGCAGCAACAGGGGAGGAGGAGGTAAACATAGAGGGAGAGGGGACCCCAGAGGGAGAGGGGACAAGGGATGGCACCACAGGGGAGGAGGGAGGGGGAAATTGTGGACAGAACCCGGGGGAGGAGAGGGGGACCCCCGCCGACCCTCATCCCCAGAGGAGCAATCAGAGCCTGGGGAGGACCCCCCTCCACCTCCCAACAGCGGCACAGCCTGAGGGGCCCACTCACCACTACCGGCCCGGCTCTGGACCCGCCGACCACGTGGGGGCTGGGAAGGCCTCCCAGACCCCCCAGGATGCTCAGCAGGTCTTCTGGCACCCCTGGCCCGCTGTCCACGGTCGGGGGGTGCGCGGGAGGCGGCAGATAAAGCAGGCCGCGTGTCAGATGGAGGTGACACGTGGGCCTGGTGGTGCCTTGGGCCCGGGCTCCGGCTCCTATACCAGAGGCCTGACCATGGGGGGGGGGGTGCGCGGGAGGTGGCAGATGGAGCTGACACGCGGGCCTGGTGGTGCCTTGGGCCCAGGCTCCAACTCCTATACCGGGCCCGAGGTGAGGCATCAGGGGTCAAGCAAGCAGGTGGGTGGCAGCGCTGGCCTGTGCTCCTGCAGCCTACAGGGGCTGTAGCCGCGTGGGAGGGCCCAGGAGAGGCCTGACCGCAGGGTGGGGGGAGGGGGGGTGAACCCACACCGGCGGCCAGGCCAGGTTGGAGGGGAGCATAGAGCTCCTGAAGGTGCCTACCGCCATCCAGGGCAGCAGCAGCTCTGAGGGCAGCAGGATGAATCCACAGCCATCCCTCAAGCAGGTAAATCACCAGGCCCAGGACAAACAGGAGGCAGGGAAGTTGTTTGCTGGCCAGAATCCCAAAAGGCACTGAGGTAAGATGATCCCTGCCCCACTACAAACCCATAACCACTCCCCTAAAACATATAGCCAATCACTAGAACCATCCCCACACTCTTACATGTGCCCTTGCACGTTTAGCTGTGCTGACTCCCCTGGGCCTGATCATGCCACTGCAATCACATTGTTAAATTATCATTTAGGAGTTAAACATTTAGGAGTTAAATAACTCTTGTTTCTGTTTATGCTGCTCTAGCCACACCTCCCCTGACTGTGACTCAGACAGCTGCTATATAAAAAATGGTTTAATTTTCAATCTTTACTTACAGCACATAGTGTTTACTAAAAAAAATTGCTCTCTTTTTGATGAAGTAGGAAGGCTGTGTGAGTCTCAGCCAGCGAAGGTGTGTCTATGGCTGCATAAGCAAAGTAATTTAAGTCCCAGATGGTAGAGAATGGAGCAGTGAGACTGCAGGGGCATGTTATACACACCCAAATCACTTAAAGGACCACTATAGGCACCCAGACCACTTCAGCTTAATGAAGTGGTCTGGGTGCTAGGTCCAGCTAGGGTTAACCCTTTTTCTATAAACATAGCAGTTTCAGAGAAACTGCTATGTTTATATTAGGGTTAATCCAGAAACTAGTGGCTGTCTCATTGACAGCCGCTAGATGCGCTTGCGTGCTTTTCACTGTGATTTTCACAGTGAGAAGACGCCAGCGTCCATAGGAAAGCATTGTGAATGCTTTCCTATGAGACTGGCTGAATGCGCGCCCGGCTCCTGCCGCGCATGCACATTCAGCCGAGGAGGAGGAGGAGGAGGAGAGCTCCCTGCCCGGCGCTGTAGAAAGAGGTAAGTTTAACCCCTTCCTCACCCTAGAGCCCGGCGGGAGGGGGACCCTGAGGGTGGGGGCACCCTCAGGGCACTATAGTGCCAGGAAAATGAGTATGTTTTCCTGGCACTATAGTGGTCCTTTAATTAAGCTAAAGTTGTTTTGGCTCTTAGAGGGTTATGTAATGTTAATTCATCAAAATGTTGAAGATTTCAGAGGGGTACATGGTTACATAAATGTAGTCTGAAAAAAAGGCTTGCGTTAATAAAGTTCAAAATGTTGGGAAATGAAGATCGTTATTACAGTGCGTTCTTTTTTCCTGAATGTAAAACTATATGAATACTGGGACATTTGTACAAGAACTAGAATAAAAACATTATTAAAAGTGTCCAGAAAAAAAAAGTTACTAAAAGACCCAAATAAAATATATTTCTCACGCTACAGGGACATTGCAGCATCATGAGAGGTAGATATGTCTCTTCACCCAACAACCACCAAATGCTGTTTGGTTGCCAGAATGAATCTGTTACTAAATACTTTTGACTATTCACAAGTGGAAAATATGGTCAGACAAATTTGCATGTGCATTTGGCTGCAGTTTGTTTGTCCGATGAATCTCCATATAACATTTTATATTTTGCCATTCACCAACAGCTAAATTGCAGCCAAATTGTCTTTATTTGCTCCAATTCTCAAAACAATTTATTCTTAACCCCCCTTAAACTTTTAAGGATACCACAACTTTAAATCCCCCCCAAAACGTACTCTTACATTAGTGGTGCATGTCCATTTTTTTGTTAAATGGAAATTTAATTACAATCGGGCTACAATTCGTATAGAATTTGGTTGAAAACATTTAAAAAACGCAAACACTCTGAAACAGAATCAAGTTGAATTTGAACTGGATGTAATACCACTGCACTTCACCTCAAACCAGTTTATGGCTGGTATCATCCAATCAGAACCATCCATTCTTACACAACTGTAGCACTCATCAACTGCCAAACTTCCTCAGCCTCACAAGAAGCTTATATATCACTGGGGCAGAGGGATGTACAATATGGAGGGATGTACTCGAATGCTAGGCCAGTACAGAGTCACGTTTTTGTTGGTGTGTGTGCATTGTGTGAGATGTACAACAATATATTATTTAAAGGCTTACATAACCCAAGTAACTCTTCTTCCAACTGTATCCATCTGTTTTTTTACTATTTGTTGCGGTCACTTTCAGCTCTGTGCTTCAGCTTTTTAAATATCAAACATAATTAAAATACAAGCACTGTACAATATAATGCTTTTTTTTATGGGTCTTTAAATATGTCTTACAAATTAGTTTTTTGTGTGATCCTGTGGTTGCTGGCATATTAGTGTTTTGTTGCACGTGTCAATTTGTACTGTGCATATATGTAGCCAAAAAAAGGTATAATGTTCTGATGTGCTTTTCGAATCAGCAGCCTAAGAGTGAATTTTTTTATTTTTTTTTAAATGGTAGACAGCCCTGTAAAATAAATCGTTTGATCCTACATTTTATCATAAAGTGCATTTTTTAAAATTTGGCAGTTATAAAAAAATTGCCAATTATGAAAATTTTTGTGTTCAGAAAAGAAAATAGTTTTTAGATGTAACGATGGTCCTAAAAGTCACTTTGGCACGATGCTACGAGTTCGGATGTGATTATTGAGGGTTAATTTACAAATAGTTGTAAAATGCAGATAATGCTAAACTCAGTATTGGTATGAAGAAATCAGTTAGACTATACAAGATGAGTACTCTGTAGTAATTATGGTGCCTGAAGAGCCCTGGTATTACCATAGTATAACGTCAAAATGTTTTAACCTCTCTAACCTTGGTCCCACTGGGTACCCATAGCTGCAGCACCTGCTTCTGGATTCTACTGATCTAGGCCATACTATACAGGGCCATGCTCATTGGCTAAAAGCATCAGCTGATTGCTGCCAGCCAATGGGAGTGGTCCTGTATTGGTTGTGCATAGCTAATTGGAGTGCCTGGTTTACGCAGTAAAGTTGTCCAACCATTCTAAAACGATTTTAAAATTACCCTGGAAATACACATGCCTAGCACTATAACCACTATACTATAGCATACTTGAGAAGTTTTGTGTTCCTTTGAAATACAAATTTTGGAAGGATGGCCTTATACAACAATGGAAGTGCCAGCAGCAGCTTGTTCTATATATTTAGCTATTGTCGATTTTTTCATTTCAAAGTATTTTACAGAATCCACGAAGAATATAGTTAACAAGCAGGTGGGGGAATGTGGAGGTAAAATCCCTTTATTATAATAATATGGGGGTATTATTGACCCCCACAGGATTATTATTCCTTTTTTTTTTTTTAAACTTGTTTAATATGGCAGCTGGCTAGCAAGCACTAGCAAGCCACCATATAATTAAGAAAACAAAACAATACTATCACCACAATCACGTGTGAATAGTGTGAAATTTGTATGCAATATACTTATCAGGTAACTCAAGTGGACAGCCTCCCAAGGACCATGTCCCAGGTAGTGATCTTTAGACCAGAATACAAGCAAAACCCATATGGGATATAGATGAACATAATTAACCCTGTTATGTTGCTCTAGATGTTTTTTTTAATAAATTCTTTATTTTACTGTGCATAAACCCATGACAAATTAGCTCGCAATGCCCAACAGCCTATACAGGCACATAGGACAGTGTTTCGAAACAAATAAACAGCAATGTGGTGGTATGGCACAATTTTAGATTAATGTTAATGATATGGACAATGACATTGGTATGACAGTGTATCAATAGATCTGAAGTGATAGTACATCATGAATACAATTATTGGTAATAACTGACAGAAAACCATAAGTATAACTAAAGTATAACTACCCAAAAAACAGGCGAGGACTACTTGGGCTTCGGTATCCTTTTTGGAGTGGCCGTCGTGGTATGGGTCACTGACCCATCTTAGTGGGGGGAAATTAAAAAGAAAGTTGACGGGAGAGACGGCACACTATGATGGGGGTTGGGGGAGGGAGGGAGAAGGAGAGTGCGCATAGCAGATTTTTGAAGTTCCACTTTAGTAGTAATGGGAGCAGACGTCAGAAACATGACATATACACCAGAATATAATAAGTTCAGAGAGAAAAATAAATAAATAAAACAAAAGGGAGAGACTAGCACATATACTTATATAAGTATTACAATCAATTATTGGAACAACTATAACTTGTAGATAACTGTGGAGTTCAGAGGGCTGCACATAGCCAGAGGAAAGGGATCCCCACTGGGACATGCGTTTCAGCCTGTGTCCAGTTTTGAGCTGGGGAAGAAGGGGGCGATGTTCTGCACATACCAGGTGTTACGCGTAGCAGGGGTGGAGACCCAGTGCTGTACAAGGCCAAGCTCTGTAAGAAATAAGGTGGAAGCCTCTGAGGTCGTAAACCTGCATATAGCGCCGTCTTTGGTGGCGATTAGAGTAAGGAATGGTCCCCATCTGTAGTTAATTCTGGCTTCCCTGAGTGCTTTCGTGACTCCATAGATGGAACATCTCCACTCCAATGCATAAGTCCTGTAGGAAGGTAAGCTGCATGCCCTCAAACTTGAGTGGAGAGTTGGCTTTGAAATGTTAGAAAGTGGAGCAGGACATCTCGGGGGGCTGCAACCAGTGCCCTTGGGGACTTAGGGAGTCGATGAGTGCCATGAGTGAGAGCATGTTTTGTGCACAGTTGGGGCAGTAGGACCAAGAAGAGACGCCTTAAGAAGTGTGGTAGATCACCATCCATAACGGATTCCGCTATACCAGTGACCTTTAGATTATTGCTCCAGCGGGCGTTGTGAGATGGAGGATATGTCTTCCACCATCACCTCAACCCTGTCTGTAACCGCTAACACTTCCGCCTGGACCACCGCCAGATCTACACTGAAGAAGGCCCTGATATTGACCATGAGGTCTATAATGTCCCCTTCGGACATCCTGGGTTTAGGCCGCATGATGAAAAGTTCCCCTATGCTCCGGCTTCCTCCACCGGTGCATGTAATATTTTGCCTATGTAAGCCGTTATATTGCTGGAACTCCGTGAGTATGTGACCACTCTAGGCTCCGTCCAAGCCAAGTTTTTTTGTTTGCTTTTTAGCTATTTGCCTGCTAGCTCCTAGCTCTGCCAGCAAGCAAATATTTCCTCAAATTGTTAATTCATTTGCAAAAAGTGAGTGAATGATAATTAGCAAAAAGCGCGTCCTGCCGGATACATTCAGTTTAACCTCGGCCGGACGTCCGCCATGCTGTTGTTTAAGAAATTTCCAATTCTTGTACTTTTAAGTTGTTCAGTTGCAGATATTAGTGATTTTCTGAATGTATCTGAATTAATTTGACAGAATTGGTTGGAGTAATCGAATCCTGTCCAGATTTGGCTTTAGTACATCGGAGAAATGCCAATGTGGTTGGAATTTGGTTATGTTTATTGAATAATCCTGATAGTGATATTGGTTGTAAAGACACAAGAATGTTAGGTTCAGTCTTTCACACACTTGATTCTACTGTTGATCCTAAAGAAGTAAAAGAAGCCCACAAAACAAAAACCATAAATTAAAACAATCTGCAATTGTGCCACAAAAGTGAAAATATGACTTCTTGACAGTAGTGCCACAAAATATGCCTTTTCAAAAAATTACAACTAAACTCTGATTTCTTCTTAAATTAAAATGTTACCACACATTAACAATAATATTTGTTACAATCTCTGCAAAAACCGCTAAAAAAACCTCTTTAATCAGTGAATTCAAAATGTTTCTTGTTCTTAAGGGATACTATGGATTATTCATATTAAAATTCAAGTTTTGCAACTGTTTGCAGCATAAGACCCAAACACCACTATGCTGCTTAGTCTAATGAGGATGTATTAGCTTGCCAGCAATAAGTGCCTGTGATTGGCTGACTGATTTCATCCTATCACAGCACCCATTGTTGGTATGAACTGGTATGGCTAGAAGAAAGTGTGGAACTTAGTCACACTCACAGTGGGTGGCCTCCCTGCCTTGTTTAGTGTTAAATTGCTTGGAAATTGTTGGGACTCCAGGCACTATAACCATTTCAATGATATGAAAGGGACACTATAGTCACCCAGACCACTTTAGATCAATGAAGTGGTCTGGGTGCCAGGTCCCTCAGGTTTTAACCCTTCACATGTTAATATAGCAGTTTCAGAGAAATGTTTACATTTGGGGTAATCCAGCCTCTAGTGACTGTCTTCCGGACAGCCACTAAAGGCGCATCTGCGACGCTGGAGGCGAATTTCGCCTCCATCGTGCAGAGCGTCCATTGGGAAGCATTGAAAAATGCTTTCCTATGGACACTTTGAATGCGCGTGCGGCACCTACTGCGCATGCGCATTCGGCTCCAGTGACGTTGGATGGGGAAGCTGACATCGGACAGGGAGGAGAGGTCACCAGCACCGAGGGAGCCCAGCGCTGGATTAAGGTAAGTGGCTGAAGGGGCCCTTCAGCGCCACAGAGGGGCACCCTCAGGGCACTATACACCCTGTTCCAAATTATTATGCTAATTATATTTTTCTCATTTACCTAAATAATTGATGTAAATAACAGTCAGCATAATTCTCAAGTTATCAACTATTAAGAGTACAATTCAAATCTTATTGAACAAACCTCCTAATAATAACAGTATTTTTTTTAAACATAAAAATCTTACAATGCACTGTTCCAAATTATTACGCACAGTAAGTTTCAAAACATTTTATAGGTTGTAAAGAACTGAAAATTGTCATTTGTTGTATTAGCAGCATATTTACTGAAATCAAAAGCTATTTCAATCAAACTTATAACAACATTTTAACTTTTTAAACATTTTAAAAGGTCACGTTACATTTTAACATAGGACCCCTTATTTGATAGCAGCTTCACAAGTCTTGCATCCATTGAACTTGTGAGTTTTGGACAGTTTCTGCTTGAATTTGTTTGCAAGATGTCAGAATAGCCTCCCAGAGCTGCTGTTTGGATGTAAACTGCCTCCCACCCTCATAGATCTTTTGCTTGAGGATGCTCCAAAGGTTCTCAATAGGATTGAGGTCAGGGGAGGATGGAGGCCACACCATGACTTTCTCTCCTTTTATCCTCATAGCAGCCATTGATGCAGAGGTATTCTTTGCAGCATGATATGGTGCATTGTCATGCATGAAGATGATTTTATTATGGAAAGCATAGTTCTTCCTTTTGTACCAGGGAAGAAAGTGGTCATCTTTACACCTTCGGGGACCCTAAAGGGGCCGACCAGCTCTCTTCCCATGATTCTGGCCCAAAACATGACTCCACCACCGCCTTGCTGACATCGCAGCCTTGTTGGAACAGGGTGGCTGTCCACCAACCATTCACTATTCCATCCATCTGGACCATCCAGGGTTGCACGGCACTCATCAGTGAACAGGACTGTTTGAAAATTAGTCTTCACGTATTTTTCTGCCCAATGCAGCCGTTTCTGCTTGTGAGCATTGGTTAGTGGTGGCCGAATAGAAGGTTTATGCACAGTTGCAAGACTCTGGAGGACTCTACACCTTGATGTCCGTGGGACTCCAGAGGCACCAGCAGCTTCAAATATCTGTTTGCCGCTATGTAATGGTATTTTAGCAGCTGCTCTCTTGATCCGATGCATGGATCTGGCAGAAATCTTCCTCAATGTGTCTTTATCTGCACAAACCCGTCTGTGCTCTGAATCAGCCACAAATCTCTTAATAGTGCGATGATCACGCTTAAGTTTTCGTGAAATATCTAATGTTTTCATACCTCGTCCAAGGCATTGAACTATTTCACTCTTTTCGGCAGCAGAGAGATCCTTTTTCTTCCCCATATTGCATGAAAATGGTGTTCTGCTTAATAATGTGGAACACCCTCCTTAAGTAGTTTTTCCTTAAATTTGGCTCACCTGGCAATCTAATTATCACAGGTGTCCGAGATTGTTTTCAGTGATCAAAAGAGCCCTGAGACACAATGCCATCCATGACTTAAACGAAAAACAAAATATTTAATCTTTGTGACACTTAAATAGAATTTGCATAATAATTTGGAACAGGGTGTAGTGTCTGGAAAACCGCTTTGTTTTCCTGACACTATAGTGATCCTTTAAATGATTTTAGTACCTATAGTGTCCCTCCTAATTTTAAAAAAAGTTATTTTTTAAAATCATATATATATATATTTATTTATTTTAAATGTAATTTTTTATGTGGCTGAGCAGCCATTCTGGATCAGACTTGCACTGCAGAGCTCCCACTGTAATCACTATGAATGATGTGTAGGATTAAACACTAAGAAGCCTCCTTGACAGCCAAGGGTACTTATTCTATAGAAAAGGGTGGAACCCATTAAGTCTAAGCACATTGCAACAATAGCACATGTTGTAGACATAAGATCTTTGGCCCAATCAAGCTCTAAAAACTGGAACAACAACATACTACACTATATTTGCACTAACTTTCTACAAATGGTCACACATTCCTGCCAGCAACCCCAGGGGCTGGAGGGCACACAAATCGACATAAAGGGGCTGTGGGAGAAAGAGACACACAAATGGGGCTGTGGAAACATTCAGAGTGGCTGAGAGCAAAAGAAACAGACAAGGGAAGGGCAAAAGAGACAGACAGAGGGATGGAGGGAGACACCCAGAGGAGCTGGGTGGACACAAAGAGACACAGAGCGGCTGGGGAAGGGCAAGAGAGAGAGAGACCGGTGCTTGGGAGAGAGACACACTGAAGGACAAAGAGACACATAGGGGCTGGGGAAGGGCAAGAGAGAGAGAGACTGGTGCTTGGGAGAGAGACACCCTGAAGGACTGGAGGGACACAAAGAGACACATAGGGGCTGGGGAAGGGGCAAAAGAGACACAATTCAGATGACTAAAATACGACTATCACTAAAATGGCTTCTAAGTCAAAAGACTATGACTAAAACTAAATTGAAATTTGCCTTAAAAATTAACACTGTATGGCAGCAGAGCAGACAGTATAGCGGGAAGCAGACAGAATGGGAAGGGGAGCAGGCAGTATGGTGAGGGGGGATAGACTAGATGGCAGGTGGGAGCAGACTGGATTGCAGGGGAAAACACATTGGATGGCTGGTGAGAGCAGAC